AGAAAGAAGCGCCCGTACTTGAGCAAATTAAGCTTCGCATTTCGGTCCCATTTTAAGATGTCAAACTATCTCCAAACATATTATCTCTATCAAGACCTGCCCGAATTTCAGAAGAATTTGCACGCAAATTTATTTAAAGTGTGATAATCTAGAGCCACAACACATTTGGATACCTAACTTCGGGGTCAAGATCTCGCCTAAGATCTCTAGTATAATGACGTTCAGGAAAATACAGCAAATTATGCATATAGTTAAAAAAAATTTAAAGGTCACTTTAAAATAACCAAAATAAAACTGGGCGAAAATAGAGCACAAGGATAATAGTATAAGTTAGTATTTGGGTCAATTTTACTTAAACAGAAAAATAAGTGAAATACAAAGTTAAAAAGTCCGAATAATACACTATTTTAATCATTAGGTATAGAAATTCATACATTTTCCTAGATATTAGTAAACATTTCGGAGAAACCAAAGACCCATTAAGGTAGGTTGAAAATTTGGTAAATGCTTGTAGTTTTACCGAATATCCTAAGAGGTCTTACAGAGATATTTGAAACTTATGGATGTTGTCGGGCCAAATAAACGAGTTAGTTAATCTATGATCACGAATTCAGGGCTAAGAACCGTCACCTCAAAGTACATTCGAATTTGCCACCTAACAGGCGAAAAAGATACTGATTATGCAAATAACCAAATGTAGAGATAAGGGAATAAAGGCCTCAGACTTACAGCTGAGCAGTAGTATTAGCAACCTCCTCTATAAGCTTATCGCGATCCAGAGTCAGGCGCTGGGTTTGAGTGATAAGGAGTTGCATCTCGTCATTGCGCAGAGCCAACTCAGCGACAAGTTCATCAAGTGCTTTACGTCGAGTCTAAGTAGAGTAACACATGCGTTGATGTGTTTTTAAGTAAACAAGAAAATATAATTAAGATAAATAATAATGATTAAAATTATTCATCAAGTGAATATTTTTAATTTGGTCTGGATAAGCATGCAAATTAATAGATATTTATTTCAAGTATTGTCTTTAAGGAGCATATTTTATTTATATAGCATACATCTAGCATTTGTACGAACTATTACAATTTAATCCGCATTTAAAGTTATCGGAAAGCAAAGTTTAAGCGTCCATCTAATCTCATATTACTTGCAAACAAATAAATATATACATATAATTAAAAATATTGCTTTAGTTGGGATGTTTTGTGAGGAAACTAGAGCTTCGTTTGGAGGAGCATAGATATAATTTATTGCAAATATCGCAAAGCAGATAGCCTTGAACTAATGAATAATAAATGTTATTTAAATATTTTAAGAGAATACTTGAACTGAAATACTTTGCTTTTATATAAAAATGTGCTAGATAAAATGCAAGCTTCTAGTTAATTTAAAAGTATCGAAAAAAATATAGAAAGATATATCCTAAGTAGGAATGGAGTCGTTAATTCTTTCGAATATGTAGATGCCCTCGAGTTAGCATAACAAAAAACAAAAAACAAGAAATCCTGTCTCAAAAAAAGGAAAAAGGCGTGAACCTAAAGCCTCCGGAGAAATTGGATGTAACTTCCAATATGGAGTCTCCACATTTACTACATCTTTGCCAGAAAGACGGCATAGCAAAATTTTTTTTAAGGTTTGGATGCTGTCATGATTTTCTGCTTCAGCCTAAAAAATTAAATAATGGCAAAAGCTAGCTGTATTCTTACTTTCGACAACTTAGGTTGAGTCAGAATCAATGGTGGACTCACACGAAATTATCTAAGACCATAGAAGAATACCAGTTATCATGAGCTAAAGACTTGAGGATATTTGAGAAATATTAGTAAAAAGACCCGTTCAGTTTTTGGAAAATTTTAAAATAACTTCTTGTGACAAAACAACCTAAATTATTTAATCACTACTGCAGTTCCACGAGGCTAAAAGCAACGGCTTTCGAAAATATTTATGTGATAGCCAGACTTAGGTATAAAGCTTGCGCACCCCCTATTCAATGCCTCCTCGAATGAAGTAAATTATAACTGCACTTCATGGAATTTCAGTAGCCATGCATGTACATAGGGTGTAGTCATGTAGCTACACACGAAGTGCTGCTATACGTTGGCCAATATAGTTTTCACAAGAATGCAGGTCATCAATAATAAAAACGTGTGCGCGCGTGTTTACAAACATTTTAAAAGTGACAAGGCTTGAAAGCCCAAACCTCTATTTAAAATAAATTTATATTTAAGAAATAATCTTAGTGATATTGTAAAGTATAATGGAGTAAACCTTAACATAAAGTGATCACTTTCATTAAGATATTTCCCATGTCTCAATTTAGCAGCATATGCAATTGAAATATGAATGAAACTGTTCAAAGATAAGGCAAACCTTACACAAGCAGCAATAAAAAGGTTTAAAAATCGAATAAAACAGACCAGCAGGGTTAAGACATCGAGATGAGCAAGTGAAAAACAGACTTGCAATGATATGCTCTACACTCATCTACCAACCTTTTGGACCCTGTTAAAAAAATGGTATACGAGCAGAATGTTAAAATAAAGTATAAAAATAGTTTAGAAAGAATAAAATATACCTACACCTAAAATGGATTATAATTACTATCTGAAAATAAGTCTTTCTGGCACCCAATATGTAGGAAAATTATGTACATTTTACATAACGTATTGAAGAATTTAAGATCACCTCTATATCTGTACCAAGCTCATTGGCAATCCCTTCGTCGTCTTGTATTTTTCTCTACAAAAATGTAAACACAAAAATAAGTACATTATAAGATCAGAAATTGGTCAACCTGCATCAATGATGTTAGGTGCGAAATTATGTGAGTTAGTTGATTTGTCTACAACTCAGATTTTATGTATAAGCTTATGCATGTCATGACAAAATGCTCCAATAGCGATGGACACAAATTCGCCATATTTAGCTACCATTACCTAGATCGCTATCCAAATGAGGTTTATTTAGTAAAAAAAGGTGACAATCACAGAAATAACGATATCGCAATAGTCTAAATTTAAGATTACATCCTGACAGATTTTACTGTAAATATTTTAAATCCAAAACGAGGCATTTTAGAATATTGCTAATTATGTCCAAGTAAAATGAGCTTAGTGATCAAAAGGCCTTGATCTGCAAGCAAGCTTTTTCATTCAAAACCAGTAAAGAAGACAACTTCTAATTATATTCTTATATATGTTCAGTAGTGTCCCAATTTTTGTCAAATTAATGGGATGTATATTAAGTTAAGAAATTAAATCACCAGCATGAAATGCTATTTCATCTACAAAAATTGTTGTGGATAAAATCATAAAAGAATATTCTACATCCAGAAAATCAAATTCATTGCTAGGCGTTGTTTTGTGAAACTATTAGAATGCTCTTTGCTCAAGCATATAAAGAACAAAATACAATCGAAGCAGCAGCGTCTAGGAGAGAGATTTGAATTAAAATAATAGCTGATTCGTGGAATTTCAATCAGAGCAAATAAAATGTAATAAACATAAAATTTGACATAGTTGATGACGTTGAAAGGAGGCTCCTCTTTTATCCGTTCTGGGTGAATCTTGCATTAAGATAAAGAATTAAAGTAACCTACCTGCCACCGATTTGAGGACTCTAATCGAAAATTTAAAGAATATACAGCTACCGAAACAAAATGGCATAGCCATTGGATTTTTGAGAAAATATCTCAAAAGT